TGACGGACATCTGAACTCGTGAGGCTCCCCTAGGTCAACTTAGACTTAAGTGCTTACAAGGTACGCCGAGTGAACATCACAGCTGTGAAGGTGAAGGCCTGCAGCGCATGGTTCTGGCCATAGCACTCGACTCGTGCGCCGTGCCGACCTTAATAGCTGCTCGCTTACAGCACTTGCCCAAAGAGTCATCGAAGGCTATACTGTGAAGGGGAGGGTTCTTTGTCTTTGTGAGCATTATATATTGTTTTTAATGCAAATTCAGATACAAAGTCAGAGTGTTTTACCGCTCCTCTGCACATTCACGCTTATGGTTCCGAGTTCTGCCAGCGTCATCGCCACCGCCATCATCATCCATCAGCAATCAATAATCAATCACTTATCAGCTATAAATCAGCGTTCGCCGGCCTATCGATATGGCACGTGTGCACCGGCTCGTATATAAATATTGCACCGATCGCCGGCAAAGGCCACGCGTTGATATTTTTAGATTTTTTTTTTTTACTTAAGGAGGGTCAGCTCGATGGATCAGGATCGATGGTTAAGGCAGATAGATGGCAGGTGAACGCGGATTCCGGGTCACGGATTCCGAACGGCGAATATTATTTAAGAAAAAAATAAACGATAACTGATGAACTCGCCGTCACCCCCCCCCCCCCCCTCACTTTGAACGTACGCGGGGCGCCGATCCCGGCTGCATGTGCCATGTGGCAGACGGCAGGACGAGGAAGCGCGCGGCTCGCTGTGGGAGTGGATGGGGGGTCGCGGGGTGCGCGGGGCGGAGGGGTGTAGCGGAAGGTTTAAAACTGGCTTTTCCATCTGCTCGCGGGACACGAGCGCTCCCGCGACACCAATGCCTCTCCGGCAGTGGCTGGGTTTTTCGGGGTTTTTATTGCCCCCCCTCTCCAAAAGATATCCGCGTTGTGCGAGCGCGCCAGGCGCTTCGGCCGTCGCGGCTTCCGTTTTGTTTGCCCGCCAGGTTCACTTTGATATCACCATGAGTTCGAGCTTGGTGCGAGGCTCCTTTAGCGTAATCCTGCTGATCGCCCGTGTGGGTTCGATTGTGAGGATGAGAGCGGCGATAGCAGGAGGAGCAGGAGGAGTAGGAGTAGAAGCGGCCCAAGTAGCAGCAGCAGTGGGAGTAGGAGCAACAGCAAAAGAAGAAAATCAACAGACGCAGCAATTATATCAGAAGCAGCAAAATAACAAGAAGCAGCAGCAGCAGCATGAAAAGCAGCAGCTTGTACAAGAAGTGTTGATAGAGATTTAGAGAGTTACAAAGAGATCCATAGAGTTACATAGAGATAAACAGATATACAATGAGATCCACAAAGTTTATGTGGAGTACCATGGATTTTCTGAGATCTAAAGAGTTACAAAGAGACTCATTGACCAAAGCCCACGTACACCTGGAGGGGCGAAAGTCACGGGACATCGCAGGGTGGAGGGAGCGTGGAAACTAACAGGAGCGGAAATTATTTATATGGTTAACATTTCACCTGAGGTCGTCATTGTATTTATTGTGACGGTTGTTACCGTTGAGATGGGAATGTGTGTAGCGCGCGAGGCACTCCGCTCGCGGGTTGCGTAATAAACGCGCGCGACTGGAGTTGACGCGCAGGGGCGACGTGCGTGTGTGTTTGCGTGCGTGCGTGTGTGTTTGCATGCGTGCGTGCTTGCGTGCTTGCGTGCTTGCTTGCGTGCTTGTGCATGTGGCGTGCGCTGGGAACGCGCTCGGCAAAACCGTCGGCGCGCGTCACCCCGGTGCGGCGTGTGTGATGGTGCGGGATTCATTGGAGGGTTTTGGGGGGGACGGTTGGAACCTCCTTGAAACCCCAAAACGTCTTTCATGCATGTCTACCCGTTGAAATACGGCACAGGCACGGGGGTGCCGTACAGCGCGTGCAGTTTGCCAGACGGCCGCCCCAAAATGCTGCCACCTATTGGCGAGTCGGCCGCTTGCAGCTCGCACACGGCGATAGCGGGCGGCGCGAGTCGCCTTCTCTCCAACGCGGCTCGCACGAGCGACCGCGGTCGGGGTGGACCTGCAGCGGCATGAGATGAAGCCCTCCCCCCCCCCCCCGTACTCCCACCGTCGCTGTGTGGTCCTCAAGTCAACAAACGGTGCAATAATGAGGACAATTAAGCGACGGGCTTGGCAGAATTTCGTTTTTCACAGAGGGCGGGAGCGGGAGCAGTGCTAGAGGCGCGAGCGGATCGCATCGTCACTCGTTCCATGCTCAACGTTCGTTGAACGTTTACCGTTGACTGTGACGCGCCCCCACCTCCTGGTGATTGTTCTGCATGCTCCCTCTTTTAAAAAATCGCTGCGTTAGATTTCTTGCGTAACGCCGTTGTTTTTGTTTCCGATTTGTATCTGCTCCATTGTTGGGACGTTGCTTGCATGCGATTGCTTTCGTCGTTTGGGTGACCCAGGTGGCTCCTGCCAATGAGACTTATCTCCAGGTCTCTTGCCTTCTCACCCGGTAAAACAAAATAAACTTCTACTTGCGGGAACAGTCGCACTTCTAAGGACGGCCACTCGTTGAGCAACCCTGCCCTGTCGCTCACCGCTAATTTCGTTGCTCATTTACAAACCGCAGCGCGCTGTGCGCGTGACAATAGAACGCGGGGCGCGTAAAATCATCGTCCTCTCTCTGAAAGGGGGCGGGGGAGGGGGGGCCAGGGTGGGGGAGGGAGTGGGAGGGGGAGTGGGAGTGGGGGGGCGACGGTTGGACGAGCGGCAGCCGGGCGTCGAATCTCCTGTCTCTCACCGGTAATTTCGCCGCTCGATTAGAACGGTAAACCGCTCCGCTCGACGAGCCGGCTCTTCGTTTTCCAAAGGCGCCGACACGCCGCGGACGGCCGACGATAGATTTAATGCGAATCCAGTGGAAAACGATCGGTCATTCAATTAACCGTATTGGACGGCTCTGACATCCCGGGTTCAGCGGACAAACCCGTGGCCGGCGGATGGTGGCGTGGGTTACGGCGGCGGTGGCGGTGGGAGAGCTGGGTGGGAACCCCCATCCCCTTGTCCCGGTTAAATTGAACCGGCGATGAGCTTACCGACGCGCGCCGTGAGACTAAACAGGTCGGACGCTGTTGCTGCCTCGTGTCGGTTTCCTTCTGCCTCCGCTGCTGCTGCTGCTCCTCCTTCCAGCATCGCTGTTTAATCCCTCAGGTCGCCTCCCCCCGTGCATTCATGGCAGCAGCAGCAGGCAGCGCCACGCCACCCCCGCTCGAGGAAGGTGCCGATGGGTCGGATCGTCCGGGGAGGTGGTCCAGTTGTCGCGAGCGACGCTTGATTTTGTCAGAGAGTACGGTCCGAGTCGCTGGCGCGCTATAGTCGTGCGTGCGGTGGCTGGCGTGTGTGCTCGTGGGCCGCAGCCCATACTGGATGTGGTGTGCCGGGAGTGTGCATATTTTCCGGGTCGCTGGCAGATTGGAGTAGGTGGCACGTGACCCACTAGTAATCGCCATAGCGGGAGGCATACTGGATGTGGTTTGCCGGGCGTCAGACATATTTTCAGATCGCTGGCCCAGATGGAGCCGGTTGAAATTAATCCTTGGTTATTACGAGTTTTGGTCCGCCACAACTCATTGACGAGCCTGGTGAAGGATGGTCAGGCATCCCACATGACTAGTACGGTGTGGGAAGAAAGCCTTCATCCAGCAGCAGAATTACGGGATGAAATTTCTAAGAAAGCCAAAAATAAAGAATCAAACAATAAATAGCGGTGCCCGCTGCTGAGCTCCTGAACATTGCATTGGGTGCTTCGCCCACCCTCTGCAGCACGCTGCCTCACTGCACGGCGTTTTATTTTTAACGTTTATTTTCGTTTTGAAATCCCGCGAGAGACACGCCGATGTGGAGCGTGTCTCTCGCGCTTTGTGTGTGGCCTGTACGAACACGTATGCCCTTAATCGGATAATTGTGATGACGGTAATAATTTGCGTAATTTGTGTCAATCCGCTCCTGTATACCAGGCGAGGAAGTTCACATCTCGTCAGGCTGGGGATGTGATTCTGGCCCTGGTGTCACACTGGCACAGACACGTGGCAAAACGATGCAGGCGGCATTGAAAACCGGCCAAATAGTTCGTGACATTTCAACAAATTAACGCCTAATAACTTTTGTATTGGTTCGAGAAAAAAAGTAATTGAGGGCAAAAACAAAAAAATGCGACTTTTGGAGCATCTCTTGAATATTTAAACTGATTAACAATGTCTCACTCGGAGTTCTTGATTCTGGCAATATAGTAATGGTGCTGAGTATTTTTCAGGTGCAATGTAGATAAGCGAGGCTTAACCAACAATTGTTCTCATTGCCTTGCAAATGAAGAAACTCTCCCTGTCTGGCTTCCTTCCATCCTGTCTCTCTTTTAATTTATACGTCGTCTCTTACTATCCGACCTTTTCTTAGTCTAATTTATCTGTCTCTCTGTCTCCTGGCTATCCATATTTATCTTTGTGTATATCTGTCTCTATCGGTTTATCTGTCTCTTTTTTTTTTATAGAAGATTATTTGTCTCTGTCTCTCGTTCTGCCTCTATCAGTCTTGTTATCTATCTGTTTTATTGTGTCTCTCCATTTGGCTGGTTTTCCACCAAACCTGTCTCTCTGCCTGCCTGTCTCGCTATCTATGCATCGCTGATCTGTTTGTCTGTGCACGTAGCTGCCTCTACCATCCGTGCCTTTCGATCTGTCGATTGGTCCTCCTAACTGCCTCTCTGTCTTCTTGGTTCTTTCGGTAAAGTCACGTAGAATGGAAATAATAAAATAATAACAATTAAAATAAAACATAATGAAATCATTCTCACGACGTTTCGGCCACAACGCAAGCAGCCGTCCTCAGGTGAAGAACAGGTCTGTCAGAAAGACAGCGTTGACACTCAACTGGTTGGATCATCTCGCTGAACATCGTTGCTGTTGCCGCCGCCAGTTTTGTCGCTTGACCCTGTGCACTGCTGACGAGTCGGCGCTGTGTGGTGCCTCCGCAGATGGGATTTTGGAGAGCGTGCTGGATTCGCTGGAGGCTCAGGTCGGCATCCAGTTCCCGAACGACTTCCGCTGCTCGCTGCGCATCCACGACGGGGAGAAATTTTTGGGACACGGGTAAATCTCAACACGCGCTCTGTCTCAACTCTCCATCTCGATCATCCCTCCTCCTTTCCCGTCTTTGTCTTCCTTCCTCTCCCTCCTCCCCACCTCTCTTATCCATTCCTTCTCTACAATTCCTCTCTTCTGTACCCCCCCCACCAATCCCTCATGCAACAGAGAGCCGGACGCAGTGCGGTGCACACACAGTAAATATAATTTTATTTATATATATATAATCCGTATTTCACCTCATTAGGGCTCGTTTGGATACAACGGAATTATCTAATTTGCATAATTGGCTTCATTGGAAAACAACGGAGGTGATTTATATTGGAATGGGTGGAAACGCATTTCTGTACAGAGTCCTAGGGGCAAAGATATTATCTCGTACCCGCTCGCAGCTGTGCTCTCTTGCCATGCGGCATGCGGTTTTTTGCTAGCAAATTTTTTTTTTCGCCAATTTTCGAATGTGCGCACAACATCGTGCCATTCGGAAATTTTGAAGAACGGCTGTTCTTCAAAAACAAATTTTTGCTTTTTTTTTTAATCCCTGTTGCATCCGAAATAATATCGCTGCGGCACCTTTCCTGAAGAAATCCTTCCAAGTGCCCGTCTTGGCCTCTACACGGCAGGGGGCGCGCCCTCCCATACACTCCGCTGCGAGATCGTTTTTCGCGTGATACTCGAACCTGGCCGGCGGTGGCTCCGTTGCAAGTGGTGCTGCCTCTTGTCATCAGCCGCTGTGGAGGCAGCGGGCGAGGGTTTGGCGAATGCTGTGTGAAGCTCCCTCCTCCTGGCGAGCTGCACTACGGCTCGCCAGGAGGAGGTGGTACAGCGAATGTCGGCTGCATGGGATCGAGTGTTTCCCCCTTGCACGTGTGGGCTTTCTCCGGTTGCTCCGGTTTCCTCCCACACGTGTATAAACACGAAGTAATTGTCAATAAAAAAACACCACGTGTAGAGGATCACAGAACTTTGGGGAAATTTGCCGTCAACTCGACCACCTTGGCCGCTGCCTTTCCCACTCATCTGTGGTTCCCCGCACCTCTTTGGGAGTGAGCGAGTACTTCACGGCAGACTGGTATAAGTTGAAGTTACTCCTATCATTAATATTATTATCATGAAACCGAAATTTTGAAATCTCGGAGCTGTAAAATTACCAAATTAAGTGCAAGAACCGAATTTAGGGCTTCAATTATGTGACTAGGCGGAGACCCTGAACGAGCGACATTTAGACGGAATACCCGGTTCTATCACCCTAATAATCCACCAGGGGTCCTCTGTCATGTCACACCGAGCGCACGTGATTATCAGTTCCATGTTGCCCTTCATTTAACCGAGTCAAGAGTCTATTGAGATAGCGGTTTCTCATTTACACGGAGACCGGGATTGCAATTAGAGTAAGTTGATATAATAAAAAAAAACTCCACAGCCTGTGAGGCAAGGAGGAGGATGCAAACTATTAGGGTGCTTCGGTGGCTATGAGATGTTAACTACCTCGCCTGGTATACAGGAGGTCGTGGGTTCGATCCCGACCCTGACGCCAGCTGTATATTTGGAGTATGCGTGTGTCTCCCTCTCACACCATCATCATCATCATCATCACGGTGGCTATGAGATGTTAACTACCTCGTCTGGTATACAGGAGGCCGTGGGTTTGATCCCGACCCTGACGCCTGCTGTATATTTGGAGTATACGTGTCTCTCCCTCTCTCACCATCATCATCACGGTGGCTATGAGATGTTAACTACCTCGTCTGGTATACAGGAGGTCGTGGGTTCGATTTCTGACCCTGACTCCTGCTGCTGTATATTTGGAGTTTGCGTGTGTCTCCCTCTCTCACCATCATCATCATCACGGTGGCTATGAGATTTTAACTACCTTGCCTGGTATACAGGAGGTCGTGGGTTCGATCCCGACCCTGACGCCTGCTGTGTATTTGGAGTTTGCATGTGTTCCCTCTCTCAACATCACCATCATCATCATCACGGTGGCTATGAGATGTTAACTACCTCGCCTGGTATACAGGAGGTCGTGGGTTCGATTTCCGACCCTGACGCCTGCTGCTGTATATTTGGAGTTTGCGTGTCTCTCCCCACGGTCGCGTGGATTTTACTCTGGGTCCTCCGGTTGTTCCCTCTATATTTAGAGTCAACGTCACGCTTTTCGAGTATTTGGCTGTATGACATTTCCACGTGATCAGCTTCTTTGTTGAGCTATCATTTATGGCCAGATCGATTATGAAAAAGAGATATATAGCGCAGCGGGCCTTTCCTGGTAAAATACAAACTATGTTAGTTTAGTTAAGTGTCCTGCAAGTGTGCTGGCTGAGTAAAATTGTGTCCGGCAGGACACAATTCTGCATAGTCAATTCCGATACAATGAGACCTTTGGCTATTGGTGACGGTATCAATTATCACGAAGCTCATAGCAACGTTCACATTCATAGTAGCCATAAAGGAGTGAGGGTGGAGCGGCTGTACGGTGTGGCGAGAGAGCAACTGCCAGGAAATCGGTGAGCGGAGGAGCGAGCAAGCGAGCAGCGGTGAAGCAAAACTGCGTAGAGTTCGGGATGCCGTTGAGCAGCGTCGTGTCGCAAGATTGAACCTCCGCCCTGGCGATGCGACCCCGGTGCTTCTGCATCGGCTGGACTTGCGCTGCTCTGTTCTGCGGTCGTGACCGATCGGAGGTGAAGAAGGCTTTGGCGTGAGACCGATGGGCCCAAGCTTTTTGGATGCCTCTTTAGCCGGATTAGCCGTGTCGAGTATGATGAATTTTCGCCCGACTGCACAATGTGCCAGTGGGTTCAGCGGTATGGCAGGTGACTTAATTATTCACGCGTGAGTGTAATTAAGCTTAACGCAGGATCCAGCGGAGCTTATCCTGTCAATTAATGCCTATTTAACTCGATGGTTTGCAACCGTAAAAAAAAAAAGGCAATCCAGAACAGGCCACTCGCGGAAGCTCTTTAACTGAGACTCCCGGACTGCGTGGAGCATCTGCCCCGATAACTCGCTGTGAAAATTCCATCTGCTGAAGGTGTGCATCGCGTACCGCCGCTGTTTGTGGCGCGTGTTGTTTTAGGCAACAGGTATCAGATTTGAACATCTCGCCAGGGTCGCAAGATGTTGACTACCTCACCTGGTATACAGGAGGTCGTCGATTAGATTTTCGACCACGTCGCCTGTATATTTGGAGGATGCGTGTTCTCCCTGCGGTCGCGTGGATTTTTCCGCGGGTCCTCTGGTTTTTCCCTCCACATGTAGAATCAACAAGTGTTTTGAGTATAAGCCACTTCGTTGAGCTATCATTTCTGACCAAGTAAGGCTCATTGGGCCTTACCTGATCAAATAAAAATAGTTTTGTTTTACCCTATTCATGTTTTCTGACATCAATTTAAAGCGTGATTTATGATTTACCCCCCGTCATAGAAATATGGAGTTTCCACGATTGGCATAGAGCTGTACACAGGATTTTAGCTTCCTTGTAAGTGTATTCCGATACATCGCTGTCATTGTTTTGTTATAGTGTACATGATATAACTTAATAGGTTCCAGGTCTCAATCACTCCACCACACTGGTTCATGTGAGTTGGTGGGGAGCGGGGAGGGGGGGCAAAGCCCATTTGAAAACCGGTAACCAGGTACAGCGAGCTAATCACCACGCCACCTTTCCACCACATCATTGTACCTTTACAACGTGTGTCGTACGTTAGGACGATTCGTGTTTTCTTTTTTCCCCAGCGTGTCACTCGCGATGCTTGTTTTGATCTCCCCCACGGACTTCAAAAGAAACAAACAGAAATGTATAAATTCGGCAAACGAATGAAGACGCTTTTGAAACTCGTGGCTCGTTTGTTGAAAGAATCTATTCATTTTTTCCGTTCCACAATTTTCCCAGTCACAGCTCCTAACGAGGAGGTTGAAGCGCGCGTGCGGACAGCGGCAGCCGCCGCTCGTTAAAGGCGGCGTGCCGCCGATGAACTAAAGAAGCCGGCATTGGGTTGGTGCGCCGCGCTGGGTCTCGCGTTAACAGCCACCGCGTGACAGCCCTCGGGTCGTTATTGTGACAGAGTGCTGTCTCCCGGCACTCTGACAGGCCAGGTGACACTCTTTATTCCAATTGCGCTTTGTTCAATTTAAACATTTGCAACTTTATGATAACCTGACAGCTTTAATTTTGCAGTTCGGAAGTCTCACAATGAGGGAGGTTAACCCCCTCGATACCGCAGATATTGCGCGGGTTGTTATCATTACTCATTCATAATCTGTCATCGCGGGGAGGGCAGCAATCGCGCGGCGCCGATGGTGGCGGCAGCGGTGGTGGTGGTGTGTGTGTGTGCGTGGTTTTCTTGTGTGTTTAACGGTGCAATTTAAGGAAATAATTAATTATTTGTGTGTTTAGTTTAATAAGAGACGATGCATTATGCTAGGGGCCTGCAGTCATGTTGTCACGCTGAGATAAAATATCTGGCCCGTCATTAAAAAGATAAATGTTTAATTTGTTACGACATACGCGCGCGCGTTGCCTGTGCGCGTGTGTGGGGAGCGGGGGCGCAGTGGTTGGCACGCTGCGCTACGAACCTGGCCCACCTGAGTTCCATTCCCGCTCACGGCCAACACCAGTGACAATTATCTGAACCGGTCCTGGCCTCCCCTAGGTCGACTCAGCCTCAAATGAGTACCTGGTGCGATGTGTAAACATCGCTACTGGAGAGACAAAGGCGGCCAGGCATGGTGTTGGCTACCCCCACCCCCATGTGTGCCGTGCCGGCCTTCCTACGTGCTCGCTAATAGCACTTGCCCCAACAGTTTGTTAAATCTATACGGGAGAGCTTTGTCTTTGCGGGGAGCGGTGGCGCAGTGGTTAGCGCGCTGCACTACGAACCCAGTGACCCGAGTTTGATTCCGCACCTGCGATCATTTTGACCACAGCTGGCGACGTACGGTGTGAAAGAAGTTCAGCATACGTACATAACACAGACAACATATGCTTGTGCACATAAAGCTTTATG